CCCCCTACAACCCCCTATACCTCCCCCTATAACCTCCACCACCACCCCAAAAAAATACTGCAGATTTGGGCTGCTTTCCTCAAGCCACACACGACCATGTCATCAGAAAAAAAAAATAAAAAAATTTAGGCAGTCTGCTGACCGCCAACGTGTCCGCCTACGGATCGGCCCGACTGGTAGGCGCGCCTACTGCCTACGGTAGGCGTAGGCGTTAGGCGCCAAAACAACCCTGAATGCCACCAAATTGCGAAAGAAATGAAAGCACTTACAAAGAGAGAGAGACCAAAGAAGGAGAGAGAAGAAGAAGATGTACACCAGCAAGACCAATTACAAATCACCCTTCGTTCTCCACGTTCCTCCTCCTTGTCTCCGGCGACTCTCCGCCACTCTTATTCTTCTCCCAAGTAACAATAATAACAACGAGTGGTAGAACAAGAATCAATATCCAAAGTTCCCTCTTACTGCAAGCTTAACAATAGGTCCACCATAGCCATGCCTTCCCTCATCACCTTCCTCCCACATGCCAAGGCTATGGAGGGCAACTAAGGGCTCTGCCCTCCTGCCCAGCTCCTCTTCGTCCTCCCAGGCAGCGTTCTGAGACCAGTGTCCGCTCAAGCAGTATATCGCCCAACCTTGCACACCGCAAATGAGGAGCTACTCGTTCCTCCTGGAGATCTAGTTGCCTTTCCTCTTGGGTGGTGACATCCAGGTTGCGCGGCCTCCAAGCAACCGGTACCCCCTCCCTTTTGAAGGGAAACATCATTGCAGGCTCTGATATTGTCCACACAGGCCCTAGACTCAGGCCACGTGGACTGGTACCTGCCTACCTCTAACCTACTGCTACTGGGCCTCTAAAAATGCCTACTTTTTGTCTTCTTCTGCTCGGCCTCCATTTCCCGAAACATCTACCACTACTTGAGTGGTAGCGGCCGACCTGCTACTCGAGTGTTTTCCTCTCGCTGCTCTAAGTGTCGCAGGCCTACTCCCCGCTGCAACCCTCAAACTCTATAGGTAAGTATAGGGCCTGGGCCTCGTCACACACAAGCACCCTGTAGCGGCCGACCTGCTACTCCAGTGTTTTCCTCTCCCTGCCCTAAGTGTCACAGATACTTACCTGTGGCCGTGAGGTTGAGGGTTGCCTACTTTTTGTCTTCTTCTGCTCGGCCGCCAGTTCCCGACACATCTACCACTACTTGAGTGGTAGCGGCCGACCTGCTACTCGAGTGTTTTCCTCTCACTGCCCTAAGTGTCGCAGGCTTACTCCCCGCTGCAACCCTCAAACTCACGGCCACAGGTAAGTATCGGGCCTGGGCCTCGTCACACATCCTCAGCAAGTACCTGTTGTTCAAGAAGTCTTGGTTTTCGAAATCTGACTTTCATACTCAACTTGTTTCTCTGGGTTTGGACTGCGTATGTGAACTTTGTGGTGCAGACTTCAGCAACTAGTTACAATTGTACCGCCGTCGCACCTTCTTGCGATTTTTTTTTGTTTTGGTGCTAGAGTAGTCTGCTTCAGTGGTTCCCCAGGTGTTAGTGGTGTCTGCTCTTATCAGCAGCACTAGTGGGGGTGTTTTTCCCAAAAAAAGAGAAAAGAAAAAAAAAGGTCTGCTTCAGTGGTGAATATTTAGAAATCTGTGAAACCCGTCATGCACCTCTCCCCTGCTCTTTGCATGTCATACTCTATCCTGCGATCCACATATTTATTTCCTTCCTTTTGCCCCTACCTCCCCTGGTCCATTGTTACATCTTCGACGCCACACGGGCCCTACCAGACCTGACTTAGGGCCAGAGGGACACAGTAGGGCCTAAAGGCTCAGACTTGGGGGTACAGCAGGCCGAAAGGCCACATTTTTGGACCAGACCGACGGGCAGGCCCAAACGACATTCTCGTTTTGGGCCTGGCGGCGCTTTTGAGGCTGCCGCCCGCCGATCCGATCTGAATCGTCAATCTTGACGGTTCAGATCACGGCCAGGCCTCGCAGCATTGAGGCCGGCCTCTTTTCCACCGGTACTAAAGACCGGTGCAGCCTCATTGAGAGGCATCGAGCCACTGGCATGCTGCATCAGCGCCAGTGCGTATCGGTTGAGGCAGAGCGCTAATATTAGCGCAGGAGCGGAGCAGCAGCAGCAGCGCGAGCTAGCGCAGCAGCAGCGACGAGCAAGGAGCTGGGCAGCAGCCATCGGCAGTACGGCGGCCATAGCCGCGACCTGCAGTCGGACTGCAGCACAGCCAGGTACCAGGAGGCGAGGGGATTTCCTCCTCCCTCCACGGCCCCCGGCTCTCTCCTCCTCACCTCCTCCTCCTCTGCCATCTCTTCTCCTTCTTCTTCAGACTTCTTCTTCTTCTTCTTCTTCTTCTTCTTCTTCTTCTTCTTCTTCTTCTTGTTCTTCTTCTGCTTCAGACTTCATCTTCTTCTTCTTCAGACTGGAGACTTGATACTAGTCGGACCGAGATCAGTGTTGGACTTCGGTGGTAAGAGGCTGTGGTACTTACCGGATTCGAGACTTGGAGATTGTTGGGGTTGATACTCGACGGCATCACAGATTGGACACCGGTTACATTAGGACTCTGTATCTCTGACATTGGTGACTTATTGTCCATGACATTTTGGACTACCATATCGATGACCTACTGGATCTCGGTGACATCTGGTGCTACCTACATCTCCCACTTCCTTCGTCTCTCCTCCCACCTCTCATCTGTGTATGTTTGTACGGGGCCTGAGCATCGTCTGTGCTTGGCTCAGACCCCACCATCTCACAATTGTTTGCGTTTGGAGTGATATCTGTGTGAGTCAGTCTATGTGAGTCAGTCCATTTATCAGACTTCCGCTGCATACATGCTCACCCTATATTGGTTGATCTTTGGTTCTGCCCCATACTCGTTGAAGTATTCACGAGTATGTAACATCCATACTCCTAGAGAACTCCGCCTTCTATCCCTTACCCTCCACCCTCCCCTCCACTCCCTTTGTACTACTAACAAATACATACGAATGAGCATCATTAAGAGAATAGACGATATGACGATCAGAAATGAAATGAACGGAAGTATGAAGATGAAGGACGGACACAAAGACTGTATAAGCTGAAGATCTATAGTGAAATGAACAGGAGTAAGCTCTGAAGAGATGCACAGGAGTATACCTTCCCTGTTACTCTGCCTCCTGACATAACGTGCAAGCAGGCCGTGAAGGCACACGGGGATGTGGGCAGCCGCCGCTCAACCACAATCAACGTGGGCAGCCTTGTGCGTAAGAGGCACAGTAAAAGGGGAGCTGCAAGTACAATGAAAGGGGTACCCGAAGGACAACCAAAAACTGTCTAATTATAAAATTGTTTTAATATGTTGGACATCTCAAATGTTCTCGTTGTCTGCAATAGGACAAAGACTGCTTTGATTCTGAATCTATTCACCTGGGTGGAATTGGGGCTGTTGTGGGGAAAATCTAAACACACACTCAGGCAGAAGTGCACTCAGACAGGCACACGGACCAGCAAGCACACACACACACACACACACACACACCGACTTATACAACTCAGCACAACACGGGAATCTCATCAACGCATACGTTCCAGCGGCAAAACCCAGAAATCAGCAGTGTTATCAGTCTGTGTTTTGGCGGGCATTCAATGCTTGTTGTTAGGAAAGTAGTTCATGTTCAATCCTTGCACTGTTTCTGCATCCCTATGCTCAGCTTGGGTGTGTGTTGTTTGTTTGGTTTGTTCAGCCTCATTTGAATTGCAAACTGCTTCCGATGGTGAGAGATACGCGGGCAAGGATTTGCTGAAAACATCTTGAATGGGCTAGCAATAGGATAGCCAACGAACAGCTGGAAGAGGGGGGTGGATAATGAGGTCAGATGTCTGTACAGATGGGCTTGACATCATACAATTGAACAGAATCTCTCGAGATCTGCCGTACTGGTTTCGATCTTTCTGATTCTTCCTTCAGAACCTTTTTTCGATTTTTTGAACAACAGCAACTTGCAAATATTGTGTGCTGTACAGAGTTGCACAGCTGACTCTTGGAAGCCCCTGGATTATCACCTGCCAACCAGCGAACTGATCAACTTGTGGGCACCACTGTCGTCCACTTGTGAGCCTAGTGCAAGGCTGGAGGGTCCATACAGTCGCACACGCGCAAAGGCAGGGAGCTTCATGCCCTGCCAGCCAATGGCGTATATTTTGGCCCTTGTGAAAGCTATCTTCACAGTACTGTGGTTAGTGCGCGTATGAATGGTGAAGCATACCTTTGATTACTATTGTCAGTATGTCGAAACTTTTATTCAATGATGACCAGCTGCTACTCGCTCACTTGTATTGGTCCCATGACTCTGGTGAGATTTTGTACACGTTTGGAACCAGTCAGCTTGTGCTTTGTCGTATGCATTGCACGGTGTTGCTTTTCAGAAATCCTAGAAGTTGGCATCATCCTCAGCAAGTACCTGTTGTTCAAGGAGTCTTGGTTTTCGAAATCTGACTTTCATACGCAACTTGTTTCTCTGGGTTTGGACTGCTTATGTGAACTTTGTGGTGCAGACTTCATCAACTAGTTACAATTGTACCGCCGTCGCACCTTCTTGCGAGAAAAGTTGGTGTGTACCGATGTAGGCAGGTATGAATATGCATGCTGCATCCACCCTCCATGGCTGCCCCAGGCCCAAATCACAGGCAGCTTTGAGAACGCCTGCCCTTATGAGAACCACGACGCCGGGTTTTGCTCTACGGTGTGGAAGAGGGGGTTGGAGCTGAAGTTTTGCGCTGTTTGCCTTCTTCTGTCAGGTTTTCATGAAAATGTTAGCCAGGTGGCTTCTTCAGTTTCTGGAATCCATAGTTTTTTGGGAGATTAGGAGTGAATCTCCATGCGCTTTTGGGCAATCATATGAATATATAAATATGACAGTGCACATCTGTGACCCTCCCTATTAAAGCCCAGTCACTGTCCATTGGTGTAAATGATTTAATTGCAGAGATCGAATATCATCGAAACATCATTATAAATTGGTTTCCTTCTGGCCAAGATGCACATACAGCTGATGCAGTGCAGCGCATTGCTCTTGACAATGATTATGCTATATGCTGCTTTTCATTGGAGACTGACCAGAGAGGACATATGATTCCACGTCAAATTCACGCCCCTGACTTGGGGCCTACATAGGGTTTGTTTGAACAAAACCAGTGGATGGCTGGAAGCATCAAGACAAGATAAAAGAAAGTGGCCTGTTTCTCTTTGGTTGCCGGGGTAGGCAGAACAAGACAGTATTGGTGGTGGTTGAAGCACAGTTTGTCAGGGCATTGTGCACAATTCAGGGTTGGGGAGGAGGGTGGAAGAGCACGAGGCAGTGATGATGTTGGCCTGCGGGGCAGAGGATGTCGCCGGTGGAGTAAGGTGCACTCCGAGTACAGAGTTCATGATGAGGAGGGGCCAGTTACCGCAGCAGCCAAAGGAGTGGATGTCGCAGGTTTGTTCATGCGCCGAGTGAACGGGCCGGCGTTGGGGCAGTTTGTTTGCTGATGTCCAAGCTGCTGGCAACAGAAGCAGCCATTGTTGGCCTGCAGGTAGGCGTGGTGAGTTCTTGAGATGGGGGGGTTGGCTGGAGCAAGATGGTCGAGCTATGCGGTCCTTGCGTTCCATACGCAAGAAGTGGATGGTGTTGAGTTCCTCCGAGCTGAGGGACACCAGGCCGGAGGAGTCGGAGAGGGTGTCGGGCTGAACGAGAGGGGCTGTGAATTCATCGTCGGAGGGGGACGCTATGGTGGTCTCATCCGTGGAGATGTGAAAGAAGCGTGGACCGTGGACCGGGCAGAGAAGGCGATGGTGTTGAAGGGCATGGGTGAGGAGGTCGGTGAAGGACATGTGTGGCTCGAAGGCGAGGGTGGATGCGATGTCCTTGCGGCAGACCCACTTGAAGCGGGAAATGAAGACATTGTCACTGATCTGGTCGTGGGGAATGTTTTGGAGATATTGGACGAAGTGGTCAGTGAGGCCGTTGTCACTGGTCTGGCGCAGGGTGCAGACATATTGGACGAAGTGGTCAGTGGGGCCGTTTTGGCGAAGTCTGCAAAACTGGTCGACGTAGTCGTCGATTTTCTTTTGCCGGCGGAAGGTGGCGGAGAGGAGGGAGGCCCACTCGAGGAAGGAGAGGGGAGGTAGGCCGGCGGAGTGTCGGTTGGTGGATTCCATGATCCACCACCGATGGGCGGTGCCGACAAGTTTGTCGACGGCGATGGAAAGCCAGTGGATAAGGGGGACATTGTGGAGTTGGAAAGCTTGTTGCAACTTGGCCAGGAAGAGGAGAATGTCATCATGGGAGTGACCGGAGAAGGTGGGAATGGCTTGCAGGCGAAGGGATGGGGGAAGGTAGCCGGTTTTGGGGATACGGCGAGCGAGGGTGTTGAAGTCAGAGGATGTGGGTGCGGACGCGTAGTCGTCAGTGGGGTTGGTAGGGATAAGGTTGTTGGGGGGAGGCTGGGGTAAGACAGGGAGGAGTGTCGAGGATGATGCGTAGGGGGGGACTTTGGTGACTTGCGCATATGTGAGTGGGATGGATTTGATGGTCGAAGTGGTCAGGATAGGAGTGGAGATGTGTTGGTGAGGAGGGAGGGAGGAAAGGTGTGCGATGGCAGGGGTGGAATGTGGGAGGGTGGAAGTGCAAGAAGTGGGGGGTGGGGTAGAGTCGCTGGAGGACGGGTTGGTTGGTGATGTGGAAGGAGGAGGAGAGGTGGAGGGAGGCATGGTTGTGGTGGTCGGAGTGGAGGAGGCGGTCGGTCCGAATGTGGAAGGGGGTGGAGTTGTGGTGACCACTGTGACAGCCGGAGCTTGTTGCTTGAAAGCGGTCATGCGATCAGAGAGAGCGAAGATAGTTGTTTGCATGTTGGTGAGAATGTGGAGGATGGCCGAGAGGTCGGTGGCGACGGCAGGGCCGACTCGTTGTTCGCATGCAAGTTCACTGGCGAGACTACCGACGGGCTGGGTGCGCATGGGGGACATGTTGATACTGGAAGACTCAGCCATGGGGGTGTGGGATGCTGTGGTGGCAATGGCAGTGGCGGGAGTGGCAGCAGTGGATGAGGTGACAGCGGCGGCGGCGACTAAAGTGGCAGCAGCGGATGAGGCGGCAGCGGGTTCATGCCCGGGGTGGAGGGGGGGTTCAATTTATTTTTCTGCATAACATAGTTTTTTTCCGGATTTTTTTTTTTTTTAGCTGGGACCTTCCCTGGTCCTTGCACGGCCGGGCCACCCGGGAAAATAGGGTGACCCGGGCGGCCCGGCTGGTAGCCTAGAAATGAAGAGAATTTTGAAAATTTTATAGAAAAATGAAGGGGGGGAAAAGAAGAGATCAATTCTGAATATTAATTTCGTATTTAATTCTAGATTTATGGAATTTATTGAAGAATAATTGATGAATTTTTGCAGGGATTTTACAAAAGGAAAATGTTGAAATTTTGAGAAACGGATAATTAATTCCGAAGTGGATTAATTAATTTTTATTCGAAAATAAGTGGTGAGTTCAGAACTTCAGAAACACATTTTACAAGACAAAAATAAAAAGGTGAAATTTCAAAAAAAAAAGAATGGTTTAACTCTGAAGTATTTCCGGATTAAATTAATTTTGGATTAATTAGATTCATTCGAGAAAAAAAAATGAATTAATTCCGAGTTAATTTCGAATTAATAATTGGTGAATTCTAAAGGGGAGAAATTTAACGAAAAGATTGAAAATTCAAGAAATTTGCTGAGATGCCAAATTAGTATTGTTTGTAATTGAAAAGTAAGGGGAGTGGAAGGAAGGTTAGCACTGCGGTAACGCAGTGCTAACGTGGCGCCAGGGGAGGCACTAGCAGTGGCGCGTCGCTAAGTGGTCTAGCACTGAGTGCCCAAAGTTGTTGGCGCTAGAGCTAGGGTTTTGCCCAGGCTAAGGCCACCATACCTAGTCGGCTCTAGTGGCCCACGGCGACCATGTCTATGCGTTGTGGATGTGGAGCTTGTCCGGCATGCCCCGAGGAGAAGGAGTGCCTGTTGATTGGTGGGTGTGGCGCATTGCGTGTGATAAATGGATTACTTGGAGTGCTGGTGCATCTCTCCTGTTATACGCTATATGCAACCAAGATCAGGGCACGATTGGCGCTGCTGGTCTCAGATATGGAGCTTTATTTCTCAACTACATGTTGATATTGCGAAAGTTTTTCCCATCGAGACGGTTGTGAGCTTCCTTGATTAGCATAGATTGGGTTTCCCGTACGCTGAGTTGCTTAGCTAGGGGAATTATGGTTTCTCGTTGTCGGTGCGAATACCTTTACAAGGGCATCCATCCTGGTTTTTGCAAATGACAGAAAATAAGTTTGGTTTAGAGTTTTTGAGTACACTGCGTGAGTAGCGACTGTGTTTGTTACTTACGCTGACTGAATGGTTGACTAGAAATAGAGTGTGTGAGCGCGCAGGCTTGAGGCGCGTGTGATCTCATTTCTTGTTAATGATTGTAGAGCTGGCGTGGTTGCCGGTCAAAATTTTTTGTTATGATTAAATTAAACTAGGATTAAAGGGTTGTTTGATGATTGGAATGCTTAAGCGCGACATGTGCGTACGTGTGGAGGATGGCATCGACGACAATGCAGCATGGAGTAATGGTCTGAGTGCGTGAGGGGACGAATGAGTGGGTAGGTGTAGGGTTGAACAACGGGAGACTCGTTAGTTGATAGGCCGAGGGGTGGCCTTGGAACGTCTCAGTGGACCCGCGCGCCACGTGGCACTCACTGATATAGGTGTCCAGTAAGGCTACGCTCAGCCTTGGGCCTAGCACAATTGGTTACGATGTCGGACTTTCATCAGGGAGATAGGGATCAAGGACAACCTTGGGCTTAGCACATTTGGTTACGATGTCCGACTTTCATCAGGGAGTATAGGAGCAGCGCACAGAGACCAAGGGGTTGAGAGTCCGAAAGGGCTATCCCCCGTGGTTTTGTTGCCCATAGGGCCAAGATAGTGCAAGTAGTCCCCACTTTCCCTGCTTGCATTGTGGCTTTGCTTTTGTATTTCGTGATTATTATTTCACCTTTATTATTCTTGTTGTTATTATTGTCATATTTTGCCTATCTTCTTCTAAGACGGGCCTGGGGTTGGTTTCAAGGACCCATCTGTATGCCTGTGTGATGGGGATACTGGTAAAATTCTTCACGCTATCGGTTTTGATGCCGAAGCTAAGGGGGGCCGACATGTTTGCAGCTGGCGGGTGTTACCCGCGAGGCAGAAGAGTGTTGAGTAGAGGAAGTCCCTGCGGGGTACGATTCTGCTAACCGAAGTTCGCAATATAAAGGGGGGCATATCACTGGGACATGAAGAATGGGACACGGTGTCGTGGTTAGCTAGGGCCAATCGGCCTTCCTCAATGGCACATTTAAGCCATTGAACTGCAGATCGAGCTTGAGCTCCGATGGGAGCGACCGAGTATGAGAATGCAGTTTGAGGTATTTAGGGACAGTGTTGGTCCCATGGCCGTGTCTCGAGGTGGCTGCTCCGTCTTACGTCGTTCAGGACATTCGCTAGAACTGGAACGATACAGAAAAGATTAACATGACCCTAAAGATAAGAATTATGCCTCTCGTTTGGTCATTGTG